GATCCAGGAAAACAGAGGACAATTGGGGGAGGGGCTGAAAGACAAGTGTTTTCTTGCACCTGATTCATTTCAGCTTCTGCAACGTGCCCAAACTGTGATGTAATCACCTGAACCCCTTGCATCTTAGACATGAATAACTTCTCTAATAAAGGAGAATATTTGTAGCTCAGGGTTGACCTGAGGGGTCCTTGGTGCTCTCTGAGCTTGCTTACATATAGACAGATTTAACCATAGCTTCAATTGGGAAAATGTGACCATCCTAGACCAAGTCAAATCCAAAAATGCCAGGGAATTTCTAGAAACCTTGCACTCTGACAAATCAGCCATCAATAGATACATTAACAACATCTATAGACTATGCAAAAAGAGACTATCACCCAGCCAAAGAGGAACAAAAAGACCCAAGCACCTCTCCACCAGCATTCAGCACCCTGATCGCATAGATTAATTCCAAGGTTAACATCAGAACAACAATCAAGTAAACCAGTGGTGAGATTCAAAAATGTTTACTACCGGTTCTGTGGCTGTGGCTTGGTGGGTGTGGTGAGGCTTGGCAGGTATGGCAGGGGAAGGTTACTGCAAAATCCCCATTCCCTCCCCACCCCACTAACCTGCTTTCCAGCTCTGTTCTCCTGTGCAGAGCAACAAAAGAAGACCCAGCCAATCAGCTGGGACTCAATGGGAGGCAGAGAATGGATGGGGGTGGGGCCAGTCAGACGTGGCATTTGCCGGTTTTCCAAACCACTCAAAATTTCCACTACCGGTTCTCCAAAACTGGTCAGAACCTGCTGAATACCACCTCTGAAGTAAGCAATGCCCAATCAAGAAACTGCCAATGAAGCCAAAAGCAAACAGCCCAACCAAAGGATCTCTAAGATCCACCCCCACCAACACTGACAGGGCAAGCCACCAGAATATAAACTGTCAGCAAACAGCGCTCCTCACTAGCACCGAAGATGTTACCTAGTTTGGGTAATGAAGCATCTGAAAGAAAACAAACAAGCTCAGAGAACATCAAGGAGCCCCTCATGAGTAACTTCTCACTGAACAGTTTTCATGCTTGATGATCTAGGAAAGGGGAAAACTTTCTGTATAGAAGGATGAAAAACAAGAATGGTCCTTGCTGCCCTCTATATTAGCACGGGGCTGGAAACTGAGGGGAAAAAAAACTCTTGGAAGAAGACAGTGGTAAGTTCCTTCAGTATAGGTAGTCCTCAACTTACAAGTGACCGTTCAAATTTACAACGGTACTGAAAAAAGTGACTGGTGACCATTTTTCACAGTTATGACCTTTCTAGCATCCCCAGGGTCATGTGATCAAGACTCAGATGCTTGGCAACCGGTTCATATTTATGGCGGTTGCTGCGTCCCAGGTTCATGTGATCACCTTTTGTGACCTTCTGACAAAGTCAGTGGAGAAACCAGACTCACTTAACAACCAGATTACTAACTTATCAACAGCAGTGATTCACTTAACAACTGAGGCAAGAAAGGTCCTAAAACGGGGCAAAATTCACTTAACAAATGTCTCACTTAAAAGAAATGTTGAGCTCAATTGTGGACATTATGAACATATCTATGTGATCATCAAACAAGGCCAACTGCAGCAGTAGTCACTGACTTCAAATTGGCAGCTGTGAGCAAGCAAACCAATCCATGCCCCCTTTTAAGGTTTGTGTTATGCAACCAACACACATTAAAAGGCCTTGTCAGCCCACCAATATTAAGCCAATGACTTTTTTCTGTGGAACAAATGACTGGGAGCTTGAGGGAGACTTTTAATGTAAGAAAGAAAATTTAATTTCAAATCAAAATGAATCGATCTGCTGTTTTTCTTGAAGGAAACGTAATTCAATTCTTTGGAGTCACATTTGCATTTAAAGGCATAGTTTTCGTCCTTCGGTGATAATAAGAAGAGAGCCAAGTTAGACCAAAAATTAGAAGGAATCTCATACAGCTCCATAATATGATGAAGTGAGTTGTAGCTCACGAAAACTTGTACCTGTTAATAAGATTACTTAGGCTGAAAATGCAATATGAGATTCCTTTAGGCCCTTTCAATGAAAATACTTGGCCTCATACTTGCCATTCATTATAGTATTGGAAAGTAGTTTTAATAACCATTATAAAAACTTTAAAAAATTAATGGACTTGGGTTGAAAAAAAAATCCAATATATTTACATTGGACTATATCTATAAAGGAAAATCTACCTTCCTATGGCAGGTGCTGCCACCTGCTGTTTTTAATTTATTTATCGTCCAAGGGCATGTGTGGTGTAACCTTCCCTAGCTTCATTCCTTTCCCTCCCCCTGGTGACATAATCCAGCTGGAACCTGTTACTGATTTTCCTTTTTCACCTTTGTTGCCTCCTTCCACAGGTCTCCAGCACTCCCTTTAATGCCACCCACATAACCATTATTCTCCTCTATTTTGTGTCTGCAGAAATAACATAGCCAGATCTGTCATGGCAACTCTTGCATAATGAGTAACAAAGCACATCAGGTCACTTAGGAAGGGATGTGGGGAAATGCTCAGATAAATCCATTTCTCAGACATTCATGCCATGATGCCTTTTGACACGGTGGGTTTGAGAAAGCCAGTGGAAAAGTTTTGGGTGGGGACAAAAAATTGGCAGCAATTTTCGTTTTTCTGATTCTTTCTTTCTCCATGGAGCCATTAGTAGCAGCTGATCTTTTTTTTAAGGTGGGGCATAGAAATGTGAAATTCAGCTCAAGGGAGAAAGAAGAATACTAAAACAATATTCACGGATTATTGGCACTTTTGCATAAAGTGATTCCAGCTGTTAGCCAATTTCTAAGTTAACCACTTTGAAGCTAGTTTTCAGTAGAAATCACTAGATCTGTTGATTGAAGGAGTCTTGCCTTACCCTTCTTCTCAGCTCCTGAGCTTCAGCAGCTTCCAACAGATTAGATAAGGGCGATTCTGGTTTGACAGCTTAGTAGTTCCCCTCTGCTGCCACCCCCCCCCCCCCCCCCCCCCCCCCCCCCCACTCACAAATAGCTCAGGCAAAGATAGCAAGTGTGAAAATTGACAAAAGTCTGTCAATTTCCCATTTTTGTAGGCAGTGGCCAAACTATTACAAGGGTCCAGGCTGCTTAGGGATTTTTTAATTTCATTTCCTTCCTCCCTCCCTCACTTTTTGGGTAGAGAGGCAATAAGGATACTGCAGGATCAACAACAATGATTTTTTTCCAGCTTATTCTCTGGGTTAGCAAAACTTCACATCGTTGCAGGTGACTTGGAATTTGCCTTTCAGTTAATGGGAAGGAACGGTAGTGTAAAAGTGGCAGAGAGAGAATAATACAATATCTGGTTTGATCATCGCCTGGAACAGCCCCAGTCTAGATTGTTCCTGCATGGGGCTTCAAACTGAATTCGTCCACACCATTACAAATGACTCCCAAGTTCTCTGAGGCTTTAGAACGGGGCTGTTGCCTGCAGAGTTTGAAGATTTTTTATTTTATTTTTTGCATTCATGAGAATTAGACATTTTCTCTTGGAAAAAGATGAAGCAGTTTCTGACTTGGAATGTGGCAGAAACAAATAATTAAACCTTCCCTCTCCTCATGCACAAGTTCTGATGCAGACAAAATGTCAGGACTAACCTCCTGACATATTTCATATGTAATTTAGTCCTCAGTTGAACCCAATAAATACTCTAGGCCTGTGATGGCGAACATATGCCATGCATGCCAGAAGTGGCATGCAGAGCCATCTGTCTGGGCACGCCAGCCATCGCCCATTGCTCTTCTGGGTTCTGGCACATGCATGTACGTCTTCTGATTTCAAACTCACATGCGTGTACGAAGACCAGCTGGCTGGCCAGCTGGTCTTAGTGCATGCATGTGCATTAGAAGCCGGAAGACCAGGTGGCACTGCTCTTCCGGTTTCCGGTGCATGCATGTGTGTTTCAGCACTCAGTGTCTTTTCAGTGCATGCGCGCTCCCATTTCAGCACTCGTTGCTGAAAAGGTTAACTACCACTGGCCTAGGCTTATTCTGCATTCCAAAAGAGCGTGTAGATGTAAACAGGTTTCTCATCCAAATTGGACCCCATGATTATCATCCAATGTATATGTACTATTTAAATGAATAGATAAGTTTTTATTGCCGTTCCATACCAAAATACAAAGAAGTAATTCAATGTCACCCATAACTTATAACAGTTTACAGTAACACCAGGACCAAGGAACTTTCGTATTTGGTATAAGTGCAACCATATTCTGTTTAGCTTAAGTTGGTGCCTAGCTTCCAGATAGAAACAATAAGGCTTAGCAGCTTGGATTACAGTTTTTGGTACTAGGCATCCAGAAAATAGATACCATCGTAACATAATAACATTTTAAGCTTTATTATAATATTATAATAAAACTGGAAGTATGGCAGTATCAGAAAGTTAATCTAAAGATCTAAAGAATGGGGATAGCTGGGAAACGCTGGTACAAATATTAATTTGAATTATATTAAAATAATTTAATTCTCAATTTCATAATATTCTTTGATTATGAAAAAAGAATCTGTATTTTTAGCAATAGAACAAACAATAGAACTAAAATTAAAATTAACGTAGGACAAAAATAAAAATAAAGTAAATATTAACTTGTGATCCTGCCATTCATTTTGGGTCCTGAATCCATTGATTTTTCAACCATAATGCTTGATATGCTGTTCGAATCCTAGTGTGATGATCCTTGAGCCAACAGAAATTGTACAGCCTGTCTATGGAACTTGTAGAAGCTAAATTATCGTTTATCATACCTAATAAGTTTAATAACAAGGATTTTTTAAGTGAAATTCACCACGACTTAAAAGTACAAAAATAGCTAATTATTAAGCTGCCTTTTAGTTCTAAGATAAGATTCCATGAGTTTGGGTAAGATATTATTTCTATCATGTCTATGACTGTGGACTTTGAAAGCTAATTTGGGTATAGCAATAACCTTGGAAGGTGTTCATGAGGTGCTTGTCTTTTGCACAGCCTGCCAGCCTGGATTCTATCGTCACTCTCTAGAAATGGAACAGTGCCTCAAATGTCCTCCCAAGAGCTTCTCCCGTTCTCCTGCTTCTACAAGCTGCCCCTGCATCCAAGGCTTCTTTAGAACATCCACGGAGGATCAAACTGTGGCCTGCACAAGTAAGTCCTCCAAGAAGGGAGAACAGGCCTCCAGGCAGGGAAGATGGTCCTTGGGAGAGTGAAGCTTTCACATCTCTTGTAAAATGCAGATGAAAATGTGGTGGAGCTGCATCACTGTATTGATATCTGTCTGTTTTACCTACTCCCATTTCTCTCCTGGTGGAGGTCTCAATGCTTTGGCGATATATTGTAAGGTGAAGATGTGTGTCCAAGGCACAGAGATGCAACCCAGGCTCCCTTCCCCTTGGTATTTTAGGCTGAGGATCTCATCATCCTTATTGATGTTGAAATCTACTGAACATATTCTGTCCAGTGCTTGTGGGTAAACTGTGCCCAGTGGAAAGAACTCATAGTATAAATATGAATGGACGTCACCACTGCAGAATCTCATTATTTATTGAATATATGAACTAAGAAAAGTTTAAAAACTGTGAAACAGGATTTTGCAGGATGGAAGGATTAATACACTTTCTTCTCTTTGCCTTTCCAGGTCCTCCTTCTGCTCCACGCAATCTCAACTTCTCCCTTGCGGGGACACAGATTTCCCTTTGGTGGCAGCCTCCCCTTGATCGGGGTGAGCGCCAGGATCTTACTTACAATGTTTCCTGCCAACGTTGCCATTTTCTGGTGTGCGAACCTTGTGAAAGTAGTGTGACTTTTTCCCCCAGTGCTTTAGGACTCCCCAAACCAAGCGTGATCGTGGATGGTTTGGAAGCTTACACCAATTATAGCTTCACTGTACAGGCTCATAATGGAGTATCAGGACTCAGCCCTGCCTCACATAACAGCACCAGTTTCCCCACCTGGGTGTCTGTGGGCCATGCAGGTGAGTTACTACAATGAGTAAGGAAGAAAGATGTGGCATTCTCAGGAAGTGAGCAACCAAAGCTGAAGTAGAGTTGAATTATAGTTCTTGTTGTGTTCCTTATGCTAGCTAAGAGCAGCCAGCTATGTGTACAAAGATTCTCAGTCATCCAGGTCATGGTTGAAGAAGTTTCTTGGATGAGAAACAAAACATTTTCAAAGAAAAGAAAGAAAAAAACAAGAAAGTCCAGTTGCCTTTTGGAAAAAACACCTTTGGTAATACCAAAGGTGCTTTTTCAAGAGGCAACTAGACTTTCTGATTTTTCTTTGAAGACGTTTAACTTCTCATCCAAGAAGCTTCTTCAGCTCTCCATAGACACTTTTGGTAATACATAAGATGAGGGCATGTGTTAAAAGTGATTCTCTGACTCAGTACTAGTGTCAACCATAAATTATAGAAGTACAGGAGTGCAGAGCTTTGTTTTGGATGCCAACTTTCATCAGTCACGCAGATAGCAAGGCAAATTATCATGGACAATTAGAACTAGGATAAATGGTGATATGGAGATCTGTCGAGAGGAAGTCATTTACTATCAGACTTACCTCTTCAGGTCTACTGGAGGTCATCATCCCAACCTGCTGTACAGATTGATGGAAATGTTATGGTGAACTTTATAAAAGGATTGAAAACACAGAAGAATTTATATAAATGATAAGATGAATAGTGTCATTCTTGAAAGGAGCATTTCCTTTGAGGAATGTAATCTTTTCTTAGAGCTTAAACCACAACCATTTATGTGTAAAGGGGGGAAAGCAATTTTCCATTGAAAAGTTAGCCAGCATAGTAAAATTTATGCTAACAGAGGCCACTATGAACTTGATCAGATTAATCTGGTAAATTAAAGGTGTTGATGATACAGATGCCCTTTCACTTCTCTTCTACCAGATTATTCTAGTTAGCAGCTCTGTGTTTCTGTTTGATGCTTAAAACTCTGAATTCTAGAGAATAAAACCTGAAGTTTATTTTAGCTCATATTAACTCTCCAGAAAACAATTTGTAAATTGCTGTTATATGTTCAAAGCTCCACCAGAGGCCACTAACATGAATTTATTTGATTTTTAAAGTTCTCATTCCTGATGAAGTGGTATCAAAAGAAAATTCTACTTCTTTAATCTAATCTGCTGTTGCTAAAACTACTTTGACCAACATATTTCCGTGATAAACACTTAAATAATTCCCAGTCTAACTTTGTTAAGCTACAGAAATGACTTATTTGATCATTCACGGAGAACCAGACAAGCCAGGACATATCTAACTAGGCTGTGACACAAGCACTTATGCAAGTCATTTCCTTAGGAGAAACATCCATCGTGACCGCATTAGAAACATATTCAAATCAGGAATTTTGAACTTTTTTAAAGGCCAAAAGACTCTAATTTGGTAACCTACCTATCCCTCTTCTGCCTTCGGTAACTTACCTATCCCTCTTCTTGTTCCATGTTGCAGGCCATGTCAATAAGAGCCACTTCCAAGCACAGCTGAGACTCTCATCACCTTTCTAATTATTTAGATTTCAGTGCCACCTCTCCATTTCCTCATTACGAAAATGAGTTATCTTGCCTACCAGTTGCTTCTGGAAACAAGATTTTCCAGTCTTTATCACATATTTTTTTCCTCTATCTTAGGCTGATGTTTAAGAGTCTATTCTACATTATAATGCTTCTGAGTAGTAGGTAATTTGATATATTTATGGGATAATAATTGCAATTAACAATAAAGGAAGAATATTTTAAAATAAATAGTTTTAATAACAGCAGTAACTTGAAAAATAGACTACAAGCAAATAATGATTTAAATAAGCGGAAAATGCTGCTTTGATTCATAGTATTCCAATATTTAATAGGGAGAATATTATTATGTCTTCCTTTTAAATTTAATTTGGATGTAGTTGTTTTATTTTCACTTATTGGTATCCTGCTTTTATTGACAATATCTGAGGATGGATGGCAGTAATGTAAAATAAGCACCAATAAGGAACGGATAATGAACAACTTTCGGGAAAAAAATTGTGCATTTATAACAGTAATATATACTTGTAATAGCAAGCTATGTGGTAACCATAGCAAAGCAAACAGAGCTAGGGATTCTATCACATTCTTGTATAGTGAGTTTATCCTAAGCATATTTCACTGCAGGAGCTTCCACCAAATTCGACAGAATTCCCACATAAGTGAAGCTTGCAACTATTCTGTTCTAGACTATTCCATACTTTGCATATAAAATCTTTTCAAAAGTAATACCATAATAATGTCTTTTACGTTGTGTCCAAATGTTCATACTGCTAAGGAGAAAGAAAAGACTCTCCAAATTTTGATCTACAGAAATAATAAAAATAATAATAGAGATCTGGAATCAGGTCTCTTTGGTCAACTCCTTCATACTAATATTCTAGTAACACCCTTCCCTTCCCCATTTGAACTTTAAAACCTACAATTCCTTCCTCTTAATTTACTTCAATTTTAGCCGAATTATGTTCGCCTTTTAAAAACAACAGCTGAGCAGACAGAATTGCTCTGATCTTTCCTTCCCCAAGTAATTCAAGCAGATGTACTCATCTTTGGTAGGGATGCAATCTTCCAGCTAAATAAAACTTCCACTTGCTCAGAATAGGGTTATGGTTTTGGAATATTAGCCATGGTGCTTGTTCACTAATGCTCCAGAAGACAGAAATTACAGTTAGCCCTCAATGTATGACCACCATTGGGCCCAAAATTAATGTTGCTAAGCAAGACAGTTATGCCCCATTTTACAACTTTTCTTGGTACAGTTGTTAAGGGAATCACTGCAGTTGTTAAGTTAGTAACCCAGTTGTTAAGTGAATCTGGCTTCTCCATTGACTTTGCTTGTCAGATGTTCACAAAAAGTGAACATATGACCCCAGAACATTGCAAATACATGCCAATTCCCAAGCCTCCTAATTTTGATCATGTGACCACACGGATGTGGCAATGTTCGTAAGTGTGAAAAATGGTCCTAAATCACTTCTTTTCAACATCGTTGGAACTTTCACTAAATGAATGGTTATAAGACAAAGACTACCTATACTTCTAATGGGTTGAATGACAAGTGTCTGAATAGATGGGAGACTTCGCAGCCTTCATACAGAGGTCATGTGTTAGGGAATTTTCAACACTGAACATTTCAGCATTGAGCAGAAAACTTTGAGCTGGAGGAAAGTCCTGCTACAAAGGCTACAAAGCAATCTCCAGGGAAATAGTTTTTAGAACCAAGATTAGTCCAAGTATCTAGAAGTTGGGACAGAAAATCCAAACAACATGCACAATCACAAAGTTAACACTGAGGAATGGGTAATTCTTCTGTGACTCTTGCACTATATAGCACCTCTTTCTTTTAAAGAGCTTTAAACGGGCAATGGTACCTACAGTAAAAACTTGTGTCCTGTTGTTGCTACATGGATGTGTGTAAGAACAGGAGAGTCCTTGGGATCTTCTAGCTCCAGCATAGAAATGTCTCAGACCATCATATATGCAGGGTACATTCTGGGAGCTAGAATCACTCATCAAAATGTACCATGGAGCCAGATGCTGATCTAACTATTGTACTTGTAGAGGAACTGGCTCTAAAAATCAAAGAGATTGAAAAGAATATGAAAAGAATGCTAGCCAATTGGATTTTATAGGTGAGATTGGCTTCTCTTTCTGGGTGCCTTTCATAGCAGGCCCCTAATTGCGGAATTTGTTCCAGCTATTGTTACTTCCATAGAGCAAGGTAAACCAATACTGAGAAATATAAACTTTGAATGGGCTTGGCATTGCCTTCAGCTATAAAAGGACAAGTTAAGCTTGACCATCTTGTTTCTCCTTCCACCCAGCTCCAGTTGTGGTGACCAATGTCATTTTGGATAAGCGGAATGACAGCAGCCTCTCTGTGACTTGGCTCCCTTCCCGTCTTCGCAGCCAGAGCTCTGTGAACTATGAGGTTTTGTACTTCGAGAAGGTGAAGTGTCCTCTTCTATCATCCTCCAACAAAATCTATAAGACCGTCCCCTTGATGTGGAGCCCTTTGCATCTCATTTTGACTCTTAGAAAGCAATTCTGGTTGTTTGATTCCACAGGGAGAAGAAAAACACTACACCGTTCATCATCTTCAGAAACCTCACGTAACCCTGGCCAACCTGCAGCCTGACACAGCCTACCTGCTGCGTGTGCGCTCCATCACACCGTTAGGACCTGGACCATATTCCCAGGAGCAGGAATTCCGCACTCTGCCACAAGGTTGTCTTTTCCTATCCCAGTTCTGTGTTGAGGAATGTTTGTAGCTCAGTGATTTAAGAAGCCAGTTCTGAGGCAAGAGACCATCCAAATTGGAACTGCATTTGGGTGAAGTGGGGAGGGCATTGTCTCTTCATGCTATTTTTTTTAATTATAAACTACTTATTTCTTGAAATTAACATTTGTAAAAAAAGATTTTTTTGTTTTTTAATTATAAAATTTTACAATTATAATTTACTTCATGTTTTATAGCTAGGTCAAAAAAAACAGCTGTTGATGGAAGCAGTTTTCCTATGAGGAGAAGATATATTTCCCTCCTTCCCCTGTACTTCCTTATTTAACCTACAGCAGGAGTGTCAAGTTCATGTCGTCATGACGGCATCACATGATATATTGAGACTTTTTTTCCCTGGGCATGAGCGTGGCCAGCGTGTGATGCATCGGGCCCATGGGCTGGGAGTTTGAAAGCTCTGCCCTGTGGTGAAAACAGTCTCAGTATTAATAGAATTCTGAGAGAAAATCTGTTTATTTGGTTGCTAAGAATAATTCCAAATAAATGGTTAATCTAGTTATTCAATTAATAAACATTTTAAAAGCTTCAGTACCAATTTTTACAGTAGCGGACTTACTGAAATTGATCAGGTTGTCTATGGTCTTATGCAATCAAATCAGAGGTGGTATTCAGCAGGTTCTGACCAGTTCTGAAGAACCGGTAGCGGAAATTTTGAGTAGTTCGGAGAACTGGCAAATACCACCTCTGACTGTCCCTGCCCCCATCTATTCTCTGCCTCCCGAGTCCCAGCTGATTGGCTGGGTCTTCTTTGGTTGCCCTGCACAGGAGAACGGAGCTAGAAAGCAGGTTAGTAGGATGGGGAGGGAATGGAGATTTTACAGCATCCTTCCTCTGCCATGCCTACCAAGCCATGCCCACCAAGCCATGCCCACCAAGCCACGCCCACCAAGCCACGCCCACCAAGCCATGCCCACAGAACCGGTAGTAAAAAAGTTTGAATCCCACCACTGAATATCCATATAAAGCCTCAGATGTGTTGCACTAAAGAAAGCAACATGTATGTACCAAGAATTAAATATGTGAGGCTGCTCTTGCCACTGAAGTGGATTGGATTTCAACCGCTTGGATTTGTCCCTGAAGTTGTCTTGGGAAGATTTCATAAACAGATTGTTCTTATGTTCTTCCCAGGACAGAGAGAGAGGAACTGGCCCAAGGTCATCCATCTGCCTTTGTATCTAAGACAGGACTAGAATTCAGTCTCCCAGTTTCTAGTTCGATGTCTTAACCACTAAGTCTCCAAAAAAAATGAATTGGAGAAAGCTTAATGTACAAATTAAGAACTCTGGATTTACTGCAAATGTATTCAGATGTGCATGCTAGCTCTGTATCATATATTACCAATGGCCATTACTGTCTTCTTTCAAGTTTATTTTGCCATTTTCATGGCACTGGACAGCAATTTCGGCTTGCCATAAAAAAATTATCTCAAAACAAGCCACAGATATTTTTATGGATTTGTTTCTCTCTTAGCATAAGCAGCTGTACCTGCCAAATCATTAAAATAAATAAGCCAACTAGTGACAACTTGTGAGCCATGAACTGCTGCAGAGGGCTCTGGAGAGAAACCAAGATAGATGCTCAGGCACATTCTGTATTTTTTTCTAAACATTACATTAATTCAATTCTGTATTTTATTTCTACAACAACATAAAATAATGGCATAACCTCAATTCTATTTAATCAGGAATCAGCAATTAGAATAGTAACAATTTTCTTTCTAGATTTAACAGACTACAAGGTAAAAATAGCTACTTGATTACTAGTATAAGAAATATTCACTCTTACAGTAATTAACCATCCAGAACTATGACCCAGCCATTTGTTGTTGGTGTTGTTCTCATCGCTCCATAACGTGTCAATACTAAACATAGTGTTTAATATTATCCACTTGACCCTGACTAAAGGAGCAAAGGTCTTGTTTCACTGGAGATTTAGGGAATTTTCCCCTGAAGGAGTGCCGAAGGCAGGGTTTGCAAACATGGATGGGTAAATACCTTCCTTGGGTGTATACTCATAAGGACAGATAAATATCAAGAAAAGGCCCAGTTTTTCTTTTAGCAAGGTGAAAGAAAGAGGTAAACTTGGACGATTGAATTGAATTCCATCACCATCATTCATCTTACAAGGCATCCCATTGAAAGAGTCAGTTACCAATCTCTTCCTCGTCCCAAAGCTTAAGGTTCTGCAATAAAGTCAGAGAATACAGCCAAAGGATTCCAGAAAGTATATTTTGTTATTGGCATTACCCATGGTTATGCCTAAGGCAAGATTTAATCCCATAGTCATCATCCAACAAATTTCTTGAAATATTTTAGCATTTTTAAGTGAACTTTAGTGCAGATCGAGGGCTATCCTCTTTCTGTTTTATAGGGACAGTAAGAATATCCCAAGGAAGGCTGAGTTGCCCTCAGAAAATTATCCCAGATTGCCTCTAATTTAGCATTTTGCATTCTCTGTCCTATATAACTGCTGAGGAGGTCCCTGTTCCTGAAATACTCTAAGAGTGGGAGCTATTAATTGTCCTCTTTAGAAAGGAGGTCCAAAGGCAAGACCAGAATCTTTCCTTGTTGTGTTTCCATCTTAGAAAGAAAAGGTACATAGTTGTCATATGTTGCCATAATTTCCAACCTGTCTTTGAGAATTTTTTAAAAAAAGAAATATTGATTTATGACCAGAATTTCCATTGCTAAGCAAGGTGGTTGTTAAGTGAGATATACCCAATTTCATTACCTTTTTTGTCGTGGCTGTTAGGCAAATCACCCTGGCCATTAAATGAAACTAATGGTCAATAAATGAATCCAGCTGCCTCCATTGACTTTGCTGGTTGGAAGCTACCTGGGAAGGTTGCAAATGACAATCACATGACCGCAGGATGCTGCAGCTGTCATAAATATATGCTGGTTACCAAGCACCCACATTTTGATCATGTGAGGCCATGGGGAGGCTGCAACAGTCACAAATGCAAAGACTGGTTGTAAGTCACTCTTTCAGTGCTGCTACAACTTGGAACAATCACCAAATGTATGGTTGTAAGTCATGGACCACCTTTATTGGCTCTGAATAAGGTATACTGATGTTTAGAGTGCCAGATTAATTTTTAATAAGGAATGAAGTAAAAACTTTGCTTCGTGTTGTGGATTTAATACCAGTTTTGAAAGCAAAGAACCAGCCAAAGGATGAGAAGCCTGTTGTCCTTGTGCATTGAAAGGAAGGGGCAAATACAGTTGCATCTCATTTTCTCTCTCTGTTGCACCTTCCTATATCCAGATGTAACAGTGTACTATTATTACTGAAGTGTTATTTAAAAATGCTGCCTGTAGTGTTGTCATCATGAACAAAGATACATTAACCTCATGGCAGCTGCCTTTTTAAGGATATGATCGAAATATGGAGTTTCCAAAAGTAATTTGACTTTGTCTCAGATGATGTTGTTTAAACTTTAAAGTGCAATGAAGTAAATAAGTAGCTCAGAGCAAAATGAATTAATAAATAACAATTCAAAACAAGACTGAAAGAATTCCGATGCTAGATACTTTCAGCTCAGCTCCATGCTTCTGTGATCCCTTCCAGGGGTGGGATGCTACCAGTTCTGCCTGGTTCTACAGACCCGGTAGCTCTGAAGAGCAGCAGACACCAAACTGGTTCTGTGTTTGCTGCTGTTTGGCCTGCCCACCAGCCCACCTGGGCTCTTACCTTTATTTCCTGCTTTTTCAACCTCAGCTGGTTTGTGAGGCACAGCTGACGTTGAAAAAGCAGGGGGGGAAAGGCTTTTCAAACGCTGCGCACCTGCACACAGTGCTTTTCAACTGTCCGGGCAGCACAGCCTAAGGTTTTTTTACATGTGCACGCAGCACATGTCAGGCAAAACATAGTCACCAAACCGGCAGTAACACCAGTTAAATCCCACCCCTGATCCCTTGTTATTATTTCTTTTGGGGCAGCTGAGCCAATGTTTGATGAACTGTTTGCAAAAGAAATGCTGTGAAGCTGGCTGCAACTGGAAACTTGGAGCTCTGCAAAATTTAGAGATACCTTATTTCACCATTGGAGATAATACTTCCCCCCCCCCCCCCCCCTCCCCCCCCGAACCCCCAACCTGCTCCGCCCCAACCGGCCTTCTAAGTGGAGTGTTCAGTGTTGGCTTTGCAGCTCTCCTCAGTAGCCCAGACCAGTGAAAGGGAAAAGAGATTATGGCTGTTTTGCTCTTTTTGTATCAGCTGCCAAACAACATGCAAAGTGCCAGACTTTGGGGAGATGAGGAGACTTTTGCTCCAGCAGCCTCCACGGCACTCAAGTTAGAAGAGTAATTTTTTACATCATTTTCTGAGTCAGCAGAAGTTAGGGCAATCACAGATGGCTTCAAAGCACTTTGGAGAGATTGGAGAGAAGGAAGTAATGGCAGCTAAAAAGTCTCTTAATGAAAATACTTTTCTTTTGGCAACAGATCTGCCGCATAATTTACACAGCAGCTATGTTTGTCATCGACAGGGAATCATGCCAGTTTCTGCAATAAAATATGAAGAGCAAATAAAAACCTATGAGCCCTGATTATATGGCTTCTTGATGCCAATTGACTGCATACTTAGGGTTGTTCCATTGTTTTTCACACATATTCATTTCCCTGGGGCCTAAGCTGAATACAGTTGCGGTATGAAAGTCCTCTAACATCCATATGGTTCCCTTTATGACAATTTAAGCAAGGTCAGAGGAACAAGCATGGCGAAAACCACCAACTATTGTTTCTGTAAATGGAATTAGGAGAACAACATAAAGGAAGAATTACCCATAAGGCAGTCGTTGCTAAGAGCATTATTTGAGATCTGGTCAAACTACCCACTTACAAAAGCTTCAATATTTCTCTTGAATATAAAGTATTCAGATAAATTTAGCATTTCTATTTTGGGCATAGACATCATCACTGTTTATTTCCATCAATTCTTCTCATAACCTGATGCATCAGGACTTTATAAATAAACCAGAACTGATTGCTAAATAGTGCAACCAATTTGATGTATTGTGCTTTAAAACTATTTCTGTAAGCATATTAAAGCACGGAGTGTATCATGCAAAAATATATGCAATATCAAGTGAAATGGAAACATGGATTAACATTAAAAATAAAAATAAACGTCTACGTAGCCCCAATAATCCAGGGTCCATACTTTATGAAACAGGTGGTAAGACCTTTATTAAACCTTATGGAGCATTTTGCAGTTTTAATGTTGAAATCCAGTACATAATCCTAATTCTTATCTGAATAAATGTGTTTTAATATCTATTTATAAATAGATTTTCTTGTTCTAGTGAAGGGATGTCTGTAATTTGTCCTTTGATCTTGCAGACACTGGTATGCTGCCTGGAGGAGTGATTGTGTCAATCATCTTTGGAATCCTGTTGTTCCTTGGATTGATTACAGGACTCATAATCTTCCGTCGAAGGTAAAGGCAGCAGTTCCCAAAGGAAAGAGGCTATGTGTATATGGGTTGTCACCAAAGACAGGAATTTGCTCTGTTCTATTCCCTGCTTGCTTATAACCTCTATTTATGTTTATTCTTATTCTTCAGACGAGCTCATCATCACCGAGCACGACCATGTCACAATGGCTACAACCGAGGTGAGGCTTCAGTTGTTGTTGTTTAAAGGCAGATGGCGAAGATCTGCATTCTAGAATTCAAGCACAGTGATCTCTTCTCCAGTCTTTAGAATCTTCAGAAGTTTTGCTAACATGGGTGGCAAGGCAATTGATATTGCAAAAAAACGTATTTGTGGAATGCCAGTTGCAAAAGACTGTTATATGCAGAGGTGGTATTCAACAGGTTCTGACCAATTCTGGAGAACTGGTAGCGGAAAGTTTGAATAGTTCGGAGACCTGGCAAATCCCACCTCTGACTGGAGATTTTACAATATCCTTCCCCTGCCATACCCACCAAGCCATGCCCACAGAACCAGTAGTAAAAAAAATTGAATCCCACCACTGGTTATATGCCAAGTGATCAGGAGACGTTTGAGTAACCAGATAGAAGTAGTCAGGAATAAATAAGTTTTAGTAGATTGCTGGCCAATTTTTTCTGGCCACTTTTTCCCCAAATGCACCCTCCTGGAGCATATTTTTTGAGCAAGGAGGGGGGCAGGAACCTATAGAGATTTAATATGGAGAATTGGTTTGTGGAAACTGTAAAAGTCATCTCTTGCTATTCTTCCTTCACACTCAGCACCCAGGAAATCTCTGTTTATGTATCTCAAAGAAATGCCATGATGGGACATATTGTTCTGAGATTTTTTTCTGAATGAAGAAGCTTTCATCATCCTGGTGTTTATTCATGAAAGTAGGGTTCATTAGCCCAGCATGATTTACTTCTTATCCAATATGTTTAGGACTGCAGTGTGGGAAGATCTTATTTTTCATCAAGTCAATGGAATTGATTTTTCCCCCTGCTGTCTGAAACTTTTGGGAGAAACTAGTTTATATTGTCAGCTTTTATTGCAGATGAGATGTGGTTGAAACCTTATGTAGATCTCCAACCATATGAGGATCCCCGAAGGGGTGTCTTAGAATTCACAAAGGAACTGGACCCATCTATTGTCTCCATTGACACAGTTATTGGTGAAGGTAAGTTTCATTAGGTGTGATTGTCTCTGCCTCTCCTGATACCATTTCTCCATTTCCTTTATCCTTTGCCTTGTCCTTGGATGTTCCATAGGAGAATTTGGAGAGGTCTATTGTGGTGCACTGCACTTCCCAGGGAAAGAACGTATTATTGTGGCCATCAAGACCTTGAAGTCAACTTACTCAGATTCAACCTGGTGGAATTTCCTCCGTGAGGCAACTATCATGGGCCAATTCAACCATCCCAACATTGTCCGGCTCGAGGGAGTTGTCACAAAACGTAAGAATTCAGAGTTGTAATGGCAGTGGGACGTACACACACAGTGATGGTTGTGAGATAAAGTAGATTTGTATAACTGGGATTCCCCAGAGGGAGTGAATTGATTGGATGTGAAGTTGATTGGATCTGAAGCACAAAAGATCTTTGATATGTAAAATGCTCCTGAAAGGTTGTGTTCTGATCTGGGGTAGCTGTTGCAAGTTTGAATAGGCGATAATGAGCTGGACAGGGGAAAGGACTGATTATGTGGATAGTAGCTTTACCTCCTCCAAAAGTATATTTCTCAGACTATAAAATCTATGAAATTTCTCAGAAATAAAATCTATGTTCGTGGCCAAAGAAATGAGAAGGAAGATGAAGATATGGGGATAATAAGAAAATAACTTTAGTATTTTTTCTTCTTTTTCCCCCCACAGGGAATCCAATGATGATTATTACAGAATACATGGAAAATGGGGCTCTGGACACCTTTTTAAGGGTAAGAAACTGGAGAATTGTTTAATCAAATAATTTGGTGATTACTTGAACTGCTGAATGTGTGTCTGAGCTGTAACATTTCACACTGATAGTAAGGTTGAACTGCTGAATGACATTAATCAATCTCTCAGTTTAGTATGAAATATCTTCCCACATAAATAAGATGAGAGGGAACAGTAGATTAATGTGTTTTGCAGGCAAGTTTTGTGTGTGTGTTGCTAAACAGTGATATTAAACGTTGTTTAGAAAATAGGACATAAGTTCCTTGGACTAGTCTTAGTCTACCCAGCATACTTGTCAGGCATAAGAAATCAGAGCAAGGGTTAGGTCCAAAATGAATAGAAGTTTATTTCATGTTACCTCTGGTCATCTTCTACACATACTATGACATCTTCACAGCATGAACCTCAGCCAACTTTTAACTTGGTATTCTGATTCTTAGACATGGGTCTTTCAATGTGATAACACCACAGTTGTGTACACATGATCCAGTGGTCATTTAGCTCAGGGTTTCTCAACTTTAGAAAGGTAAAATATGTGGATTTCTGGGCTTTGAGGTCCACACATCTTACAGGCCTGTCATTGAAAAATAATGGTTTAACTAATGCCAGTTTTGTTAAATCTTTCCCGTCCATTTAAAGCTTTGGAACTCTTGTTTACCTAAGTTATGTTCACTCTCCCAGGCTGCATATGCATAGAGTGGTACTCAGTGGTTCTGGAAACCTCCAACCCCTGCTTAGTTTTTAGGAGTATAAGTACTACCTAGCAAAATCCATAGTGTTTTTTGATTGAGTGAATCCTATGTTGTAGAGCATCCTGATGGTCTGATGGACTATTTGAATATATCCCTAAAGTGAAGCTTTTCAGCTGTGAATGGAGACTTTGTTCCTCTTACCTAAGACAAATGTAGCCCCCTTTCCTTGCTGTGAAGCAAACAGATGAACAGAATACAAGCATTCATCAGTGTCCTTGTGTGCACTGCAGGAGAATATCGACAAGTTCAGCTCGGTGCAGTTGGTGACAATGCTGCAGGGCATTGCCTCAGGTATGACCTATCTCTCAGACCGCAACTATGTACATCGTGATCTAGCTGCACGCAACATCTTGGTATCACACACCCTTCAGTGCAAAGTCTCAGATTTTGGTCTTTCTCGAATCCTGGAAAATGATGTGGAAGGAACATATGAAACAAAGGTAATGCACAACAGAAGCTATTAGAGGGTACTCCTCAATGAGGGGAGGAAATACCAGCATGTATTTATGCCTCATAATATTTTTTTTTAAATGATTTTTTGAGTATCAATTTCCTTTCCTCATTGAACAGGGTGGAAAGATCCCTATTCGATGGACAGCTCCAGAGGCCATTGCCAATCGAATCTTCACCTCTGCCAGCGATGTCTGGAGTTTTGGTATTGTCATGTGGGAGGTGTTTTCATATGGAGACAAGCCCTATGGGGATATGTCCAATCAGGAGGTAAGAGGGAAAAGGAGAAACAGGATTGTCAGTCAAACCATCCTTTGAACAAGCAAATACCTTGGAGGGAAAAAATTGTTTGGTTAAGTCTCCATTTTTTTATTCAGTCATAAATAGACTGTTGTGTTGAATGAATTGTTGTTAACGAATCATGAAATTTATGCCAACATACTGTATATACTCCTGGATCAGAAATGTTTGTCCTGCCAATGGGAGAACCCCCTAACCTGAATTTCACATAAAAAGTCTCCATTGGCAGAAAGAGGAAGAAGATACTTTTGTTCCTTCACCACCAAGTGCCTCAGAGGTTCCTTACCTCATACAGATCTGGGGCGGAGGGAGTGGGGGGCAGCAGATTTTGTTTATACTGTAATAGACAAGCAATCAACTAAGAATTTACTTTTCTGTATTTCAAGAGGAAAAAATTACTAGAATAAATTATGTGGCTGTTGCTGAAATCAGCCCAATTCTTTTGAAAAACAAAACAGTACACTGCTTTTCGTTTGAAATGACTCATTCACATCATAATCACATAATCTTCAGAGGGGCCTTGCCCTAATGGTGCTTTGCACTTGTTAAAATTTTAATGCTTTTAAAAATCCATTGATCTATCATGAGGTTATTTAATCTGGCATCCATAGTTCAAATAATAGTCTAAATGAATCTCTGAAAATTCATGGTTCTCATTCCAAATGATTCCAGTGCTTAGATCTGGGGTCAAGAAATGCTTCATACTTCTGCTACATTATCCAAGGAATTTTGCACAGACAAACTGATTGATTGCCTGTTTTTCTGGATAGGTGATGAAAAGCATAGAAGATGGGTATCGACTCCCCCCACCAGTGGACTGTCCCTCTATCCTTTATGATATGATGAAGGTGTGTTGGTCATATGATCGGACACGGAGGCCACGTTTCCGGGAGATCCAGGCTCAGCTAGACCACTTTCTTTCCAGCCCACATTTGCTTCGAACTGTGGCTGATTTTGACCCTCGGTAAGAGATAAGCATTCTTTTAGAACCGTTTGGGAGATTCTATCTAAACATAATTCTTCAGCAACAAAATCTGAATTTTACTACCAGGGTAAATTATACTTTATGTATGAGGAGATCTGTTTGGTGCACCTGCATATTTATATCCTACATGTATTCATTTAGGGTGATCTTTCTATATGATGTGGGAAATCATCTTCCCTGTCCCTATTATGGAGAAAAGCACTGAGTATGCAAGGCTAATTTCCATATGAGACAAATAATGAAAAGCGAAATTCTCTACACAAAGGAGCTTCTCAGCCGTTAGAATGGTTTCCAGCTTCATCAAAGTAGGGTCCTGTCCTTCTCCCATGTTACAGTTTAAATTTCGTAATTGGTCTGAAAATACCTATCCATTTACAGGGTGACACTTCGACTTCCAAGCTGCAGTGGGTCTGATGGGATTCCTTATCGGTCTATCCCCGAGTGGCTAGAATCCATCCGCATGAAACGCTATATCCTCAACTTCCATACTGCTGGCCTGAACACAATGGAATCTGTCCTGGATCTATCTGCTGAGTAAGCTTTGCGTATGTGGGCTGTGGGTTTTGACCTAAGGTAGAAGGCGGCTGGTAGGCATGAATTACAATTAAATGCCAGAGTATGCATAGAATTTTCTTCTGGAGCAGTGGTCCCCAACCTTTGTGATTTGGCAGCAAGGATGGGAGGAAGGGAGAAGGGAACTGGGCCTTATGAGCAGTGGGCTGGCATACACATAGCCCTTGTGCAAGTAGTGGTTCAGCACACACGCATGAGTGCCTGCTGGCCCATTACTCACACAAGTTGAGCTGTGTATGTGCACTCCAGCCAGCCACTCACCCTGCCTAATTCCAAATAGGCCCGGTAGTGGTTGGGGACCCCTGTACTAGAGTACAAAGAACTTTATAGCTTTTGAGGTCACTTATAGTTCACTAAATTCACAATACAACAAAGATATTGTAACATCCTCATGCTTCCACACCCTCGCATCGTCTTCCCTCTGTTTGAAAAACTTGGTGAAAAATACATCAGCTAAAGTTTAGCCCCTTAAATATTTGATCCCTTTTTTGGCAGAGATCCTTAGGAAATACTATTATAGGTGTTGTCAGTATTGCCATCACTGTTAGGACTGCTAACAGTGTTCCTCCACCCAACTAGCATGGCCAGTAATTTTCCTGATACAAAGGAAGATACCAGTTCCACATATTAACATTCAAGTATGCATCAAGAAGAGAATTAGTAAAACAGCTAAAATCCAAGTAGTTGCTTGGATCCATATAGCAACAAACACATAGCCATAGCAATGCTGTTCCTTTGAGGAACTGGAAATGAGTAAAAAGCTACAGAGCCACCTCTGTTTTGGCCTCATTTTGCAAATGAGCAAGTTAGGGTAAAGAAGAGTGTTACTCTGGAGTTTCAAAGAGTGAGAATTGGCATGGCAAGGACGTAAGAATCCGTTTGCCAACTTTCACCAGCACTGTGATGTTTCTGGCCAAAATAGCTTTCTAGGCTTTTTTATAGTGTTTCAAACATTTGCAAGAACTCTTTAATCAACAATAGAAATAGGGTACAGAATTTCAAATGAAAGCTTTTATAACACTAAAAGAAATCCTCTGCCACCCAAAAGAGTGAATATGAAAAAGTTGCAGGACAAAAAAAAATATCAATAAACATGTCCCTTTTGTTATAACACAGTATACATCTGCAACGCTTCCTAAAAGTATCAGACATATGCAAGTAATCAACATTATCAACATAGCAAAATTCACATGAGCTGGAAAGAAAAGAATTTGGCAGATAGCACTGTTAAGAAATTGCTGCACAAGTATTATTTTTGCAAATATCTAATTTGTAGGATATAGACCTTACAGATACGGGACATTTATGTACACGCCTTATAAAATATTGCCTATATAGATTTAAATTAGAACCATGCTGTAATACAATGACACACACTGGTCTATTCTTTGTAAGACAAGAAATAAAATTAGCTGTTTAAAGCTTTGCACCCCCATTTCCCTTTTCAATAGCATTAGCCAGCATTTTGGATTCGGTATAAAATCTTCAGTCACTGCAAAGTATGGTGTCTGTCTTCCCCCCTTAGTGTCTGCCACCTCCCATTGCTAGACCCAGCAATTGAGATTAACTTAATTCAGTTCAGTTTTTCATGTCGTTTTCTTGAGCAATGGATCTTGAGCAATCATTTTCTATGTATTTTACAAAACTAGAGAAGTGGGGGAGGGTTACCCTTCATGGATGCCACCATTCTAGGAAATGGTCCGTTTCTCTAACTTGTCCCTCTTCTCTAGCAAATGCGGTGGCTAATCTTTTTCCTTATCTGTGTGATTTAAGGGACTTGAAGCAGATGGGCGTGGGTCTTCCTGGCCACCAGAAGCGAATTCTGTGCAGCATCCAGGGATTCAAAGAGTGATACATGCCATCGTACGGTGCCAAGCAAGAGTTGCTGCCATCTCCTTTTGCCGAATATTTTTTTTTTAAAGTGACCCTGTGGCAGACCTCCTGCAAATCAGAAGCCAGAGGCAAACAGCTGCACCTTGGAACATAATGCACAGGCTGGGGCTGAGTAGCCTAGAACAGGAAAGGGCTTCCTGCGCAGGAAACCAAAGTGTTGCTGTTCACTTCTCACTCCTCCACTCTCGCAGAGGCTTCTGACTTGACATGCTTTATAGTTACTGAGGACGTAACATGCCACTGTAAGGAAACACTGAAGTTAAAACCATACCTACCTGGAAAGGACCTTTTCTGTTGCAAAATCTAAGCCTCCAGATATTTGTGGCCAGATATCTATTACAGTATTGTTTGCAGAGAGCATGAACGCCTGTCCTTGTCAATTAGTGGGTTAGTTTTCATCGTTCTATCCAAGTTCATGTTCCTTTGTATATAAGGCTTCTCTCTTTCTCTCTCTCTCTCTCTCTCTGCAATCTACTCCTTAAGAGCAGAAAAGGCTTGTTTAAAGCAAACTAGCACTTGCTCTTGGGAGGTTTTTTTTTCCTCAAGTTGAGGACCTGCTTATATATTTAAAATATCAGGAAGGGATGGCATAAGGGAGAAAACCCAAACCTGGATTGATCATATGTTGTAGATATGATTTTGTAAATAAACTCATAACACAGATCAGATATTAATTTTTTTCCCCATGACCATTTCTATTTTTAAACGTTGGCTATTAAAAACATCACAGAAGGGAAAAGTAGATTTGTGCACACATTAGAAAGAAGGAAATGCTTAAAAACTTAAGAAATGTTTTGTAAATGTTTATGCAGTGTATGGCGGCATTAGAGAGATCTGGAAGAATAGGAATACCTAATGAATATTGGGAGTCACATAAAGGGATTACTTGGAACCATAAATACAAGACAGGAAGATTCTATGTAGCTTACATGCACATGGAAATTCTAAACGACAGCACAGCTAGCAGGTGGAGAACATTTGAAGGATACATCTTTTGGCAGGAAATGAAAATCAACCAAGATATGAAGCAGAAGTAAAATGATGAGATCTTGCTGCATTTACCTAAGGAGCCTTCTGTGGCTGCCTTGATATTTAGGGAAGTGTTGTCCTATTGCTTCCTTCAGTTTTCATTGTAATCACTGCTGCTCTTTAGTGTAAAATCAAATTCAGTATGAGCTCAAACTGTGAACCCTTTACTGTAACCTTTGATTTGACGTCTTAGCTCAGGGGTTCCCAACCTTTTGAGGTCAAATGACACTTTGTGTATATACTATGAATGTTCAGTGAAAAGGGCTGATATTGGGAAGATGTGTTCATGCATCCTTTAGTGGGAATAGCTAGTCTCAAAACTTTGCCCTTATAAGAAGCTAAACTAATGAGATGGTGCTCATATCACCCTTTACAACTCTCCAAGGTAGCAATTATCCACCCAAGTTTACTATTGTGTTTTTCTGGTGAGATGCAAATTTTATAAAGCAAGCTCTGTAGCATAGGCACTTGACATTTTAATTTTCCAAGTAAGTTTCTGTAGAACCCAAGATGGTCTTGAAAGCCGATGATTTGCTTTGTAACATACCAGCATTTTTATTGTGTTAAGTTCAAAACCATGGAGATATCCACACTTGCACTTGTGAGTAGCACAGTGAAGATTCTGATATTTGCTTCTATACCAGGGTGCAGCAAGGCCTTTTCCACCTGTTTTATCAAAAGAAAGCCCAAGCATGCAGCATTGAAACAATGGCCCTAGACAAGTTTCTACACCAAAGTCCTAGAATTGTTGGAGAAAAACCATCTGATATGGACGCCATTTACACGCAGGACACCAGCAACTCTATAAGGCGTTTTAGTAACATCAAGTGCTTTAATGCAGCCTTCTTCTTTGAGAAGGATTTCTCAATATATATTTTTTTAAAAAATATTGTAAATCTAAATGGGTTGTGCCAGTTAAAATATGTCACATGTCAGATCAAAATGCAAGGAATGAGTTTTAAGAACATTGGAGGCTGGGGAGAAAATATACAGAAGCAAATGGACATGAAAACACTTCTGTGGATGCATTGCTGTAATTTCCATTTCAGAAGATCACATTCTGTACTTACTGTAAAAGTGGCTCTTTTACATCAGAAAAAAGACTTCCACTTTTTTCAACAGAGGTCTTAGGAAGATTATGTAAGCATGAGATGTAGGCAAGAACATTTGCCAAAATAAATGTCCTTGCCTACATTTGTACGAAATGAATTTGTACAGAATCCAGCTTTAACCTAAGGCACACCAATTATACTTACTGGTACATTTGGCAGCTTCTCATTTGGTTGCAAACTACTACAGAACTGTCTGTTTGTCCACCTTTGTTGAAAAACTATTAGGGTACACTGAACAATTTCATCTTTTCAACAAAATTGGTTGCGTGAATGACGCACCAGAGCAATATTCAATAAGCTAAACCAGAGGCTCCTAATTATTTTTCACACAGGCTGCTGTACAATTAAAAGATTTTTGAGACAAGCCAAGGCAAAGTAGCAACACACCTGACAGTCCCACGGTACACATAAACCTCCTCCTTAAATGGTTATCTGCAGAAATCTAAAATAATATTTTATATTTTGGGAAATTGCTAAGATTTAGGCCACTAAAAAAACAAGCAAATTTCAAGGTAATTATAACATCATGGCTAGCCTTTTAATTAACATGTTTATATGAAACTGATTTACAAAGAAATGGAAACAATCTAGCCCATACTATGTTTTGGCCTGATATGGATTAAGCATTTTACTATTCGTCAACAAAGGTTTTACAGTAAGAAAAAAATGACATTTGTATGAGGTTTTTTAATTAATTCCATTCACACTGCTTGCATATTTAAGCATGTTTTTTTCCTGCACAGCTTTTCCAAGCCTGAGGCTCCAGAGAAAAAAAAAACCAATGTCATTCATAAATATGGAATCGCAATGGTTTTTATTTGAAATCCCTCCTATATTTTCCCATCACAAATTTCTGAGGATGCCTTGTGATTAGAAATGTGATCTGAAGAATGCTTCCAGAACAGCACCCAAAACTAAATGCTACAACAGCAGCAGCAATTCCTTGTTTCTGTTTGTGCCTCCACCAACCTTGCTATCTTCCCAAACTGTAGTATGAAATTGAAAGACCAAATTCGTTGGTGGTACATTTATGACTTCATGTATCATTTTTGTGGCTGTCCAGTCTGCAGATTAAGCAGAACATACCATCCAAAGAGAAGTGCATTGCTGAAGGTTCCTTCTCACAGAAAAGCTGGAAAGGTTCAAGAATGCTATACCTTGCACCCGTTTTAACTGAATAAAGAAGTGAAGTTAGAGAGTGAACGCACAGGCCCTTCTGTCTGCAAAGTAAAACTAAAAGATGAAGCCTACATTCTTTCTTCTACATGGGACGTCTTCAGTCCTGATCCATGGACCGGTACCATGACATGCCAGCAACCAGGACCTGCAAACAAGTGAAGCTCCATTTGTGGTATGCAGGCAGCATGCAAAACCACATCTCCTCTGGTCTGTAGAAAAACCTTTCTCAACGGAACCGGACCCTGGTGCCCAAAAAGGTTGGGGGCCACTGTTCTACTTGATCTTTAAGGCAGAAGAGAAGTAGTTTGGAAGAAAATATGATTTCTGGTATTGTAACACAAGAACTCTGGCTGACTTTGGGCCAGTTGCTCGCTCTCAGTCCCAATCACCACACAGGGATGTTGTAAGAAAAATAGGAGGAAGAAGGAACATTAGGTATATTTGCCGTCTTGAGTTGTTTATAAAAATAATAAAGGTGGAATGTAAATAAATAAATAAATGATTGGAATGACAACGGGAGAAAAAAAACTGCACAACTTTATTGATGCAAAACAATGGCTGAGGAAGGATAACTCCCGATTACACCACTATGCCAACTTCACAATAAACTCCAAAAAGCCCATTGTAAACAAATAAGTAGCCCTTTGAATAGTGTGCAGTGCAGAAGTGATTAGACCAAAGTATCACACGTTCACACATACAAAAAAGAGGAACCACCTTGATTTGGGAAACACATGGAGAAAACTGGTCCATTAACTTAGGAACAAAAAGTTCTCCTGCTGATACAAGCATCCAGTACAGAAAACAAGCCAGCTGTGAAATGTATATTCTGTCTCTAAAATAAGATATAAAATAGTAATTTACATTCCACATTTGAACAGAGGACAGGGCAAAGCTCCACAAAGAAAAAGCAGGTTGGAAGAATCCAGCCTTTTGTTCCAGGACTACTTTATTACTCAGTAAGACCAAAGGCTTATAGCAAGATAAGATTCCAAGACAGAAAGTGAGGATTTAAGACCTTGTATTGTAAGGGATACATATTTTTTTTTAAAAAAAGAAAAAGTGGAGGAGCCCTTAGTGAAAAGAGAAGGATATTGCCAGACAGGCAAAATGTGTTCATGATCCTAAGAAGGAGTCATAAGAAAAAGCATACAAAAGATCAGATCAGCTGCTTTGGACAGGAGGAATACACTGAAACATCTCCTGATTCAAGATCTTCAGACCGCAGCTTTGACACGTGTGCTGTGACATTTCCTACACAGCACATGGCCATCCAGAGGGAAGCAACCATTGTCATCTGCTTCAATGGACAGGGCCTTCCCACAATCCTGAAAGGTTAACAGAGAAAGAAATGAGCAAGGTAGACCAATATCAAGGAGAAGCAGGGAGGAAAAAAAAAAAGGTAGAAAGTGCTCACCTCACACTTGTAACATTTCATGTGGAAATTCTTCTCCAGGGCCACCACACGAACAGTCTCATCCTTCCCAGGCTCTGGCATGATGGGCTCAGCACATACTGAACAGCGAGGAGCATATTTTCTGCAAGCACATAAGAGAAAGTGCAGGAGATTCAGAATCTCAGTTTCAGCTTTTGGTCAAATCCAAGCTTTAGGGCACAGAGAATCATCGTAGCCAGAGAGGAGAACATGAACCTCAGGGGACATACCTGTGATAATCATCAACACAATGTGGCTGGTTGGCTTTATCCACAATGAAGGATGCCCCTTCCAAGGGTTTGTGGCACACCACACAAGTGAAACATTGAGGATGGTAGGAATTACCAGTGGCCCGCAACATCCTGTCTGTGATTGTTTGCTTGCACACACAGCATTTCTCTAGGGTGCCCTGAAGAACAAAACATGGATCAGAAAGGAAGCACATCTGCTTCAGTTGAGAGCATTATTTCTTTCTCTGGTAGGACAAAGCCATCAACATTAGCCAACTTAATTCAACCAGATTAACAGTCAAGAAGAGAAACTATGACGAAAATAAACCCAACTCAATGTAACCTTAGATTGAGATTATTTTAGTAACTTTAATCTCCCATATCCCAGGATGATGCACTGGTTTTCTCATTCATCTGATTTGAAAACTCCAGAAATAATGCTTTAACCCTTGAAATTTAATTATTCACAGTAATTAGTAATTAGCATGCACATATCTTTGCATGTACTTCGACTACATACAAGATACAATTCAGATTAAACATTTCCACAAACTTGGCCATTCTCTATGGTTGAGCTTCTCATGTGACCCACCCTGTGATATCTAAAACTAAGAGCTATGTGGGAACACAGAGGGAAAAATGTGACTGTTTCTCAGATTAGTGCTCAAGTTAACTC